AGGCTGGGGGCAAGGCTTGTCGATAGCTTTAAAGGAAGCAGAGTAAGAGAGGCAAAGACAGAGTCCTTCATAGTTAGGGATCACCGTGGAGAGTGTAAGTTCTTCGTACTCCTTTGTTTTAAAAATTTTGGGGTAGGATGATCTTACAAGTCTTAAATGATAGATGCTGTTCAATTAAAAGGTGTAAACTCTACTACGCTTTTTAAAACTTTTTTATTCCAATTCTAAGATACCGAATATTGACAGGATATAAACATCATTATTGGTTTTTTTGGCTCGGTTAAGTGGATGCTTTTATAAGAACTGCACTCAAACCGGATAACCGAAACTGTAACACCAAAAACTATCTCAACAAATCCAAGTTGACCGGAGTGGTTTCTTCATATTAGCCTGATAATGAGCTCAGAGTTAATAAATCTAAAAGGGAAAAATGAAGGAATGAGATTATGATGGAACATTTTCGGAGTCAAATGGAACATCTGGTATCAAACAACTGTTAGTAGCTTCAAGTGTGAGCTAAAACACTGTCTATCTTCCTGCTTTCTTCATAGTGTACAAGAAGCACCATCCCCCATCTCTTTCAGATGAACTTTGGAGGCTGGAAAAAATTGGTAAAGATGGAGCTTTCCACAGGCGTTTGAGCAAGGAAAGAGTCAACACAGTGAAAGATTTTCTGACTCTACTCTATCTTGATCCTGCAAGGCTTCGAAATGTAAGTATTTTGGCATTCTATCTTGCATGTTAATATAGAATCCAACAAATGCGTCATTTAATTGATTCAACAGTTTAATTTGTTATTGATTGAACAGCAATGAAGATGACCATAATGATGGTTGTCAAACGTCTGGTTGACTCTTATGGTTATTGAAAACCTGGTTAATGCTTTGTTTAAACCGGAGTTTATGTGGTTATGCGACGCCTATGATTTTGTTTAATAGTATAACACAAGTTAAAACTTCTATATATGTTACAACTACGTTGTTACAATGTACAGGATGGAATCTTTTTTTGTTTTCATCCTCTGGGTCCTTGTATCTTTTTGATGTTGATGTTTGACTAGTGGATTAGCGTCATTAAGCATCCTCTGTCTTCATTGAGAAGATCCATACCAGACTTTGGCTTTGTTTACACCGAGTGTCTAAGTGAGAACACCTTGAGTGAGATTAAGATATTTGTTGATCCATAGATTTAGTATTATTGTTCCCTCATGTTTTGAATAAACTGAAAACTCTTGTTTTTTACTTTATCTATGGAAATCTTGCAGGTTCTTGGGAGTGGTATGTCCGCTAAAATGTGGGAAGTGACAGTGGAACATGCTCGAACATGTGTACTTGACAAGAATTTGTACTTGTACCGCCCATCTGGATCTATGCAATCGAATGGAGTGGTTTTTAACATCGTTGGACAAGTGACGGGACTTCTTTCAGATTGTCAGTATCTTCCTATTGACAAGTTGTCTGAAACTCAAAAGGCATGTATCTTTGCATTAAAAGTTCTCTCCTCCATGTCTGTCTTATGCCGTTTTTTATCTTGGAAAGAAATTTGCTTTGTTGTCCAAACTTATCTTGTTGAATTGAGCATTGTTTAGCAGTTGCCTTTGCTTCTGTAGGAATCTGGTTTAAACCAATAATATCCTTTGTTATATTCAGGATGATGCTCGTGATTTGGTCATTGGTGCATTCAGACACTGGGAAGGAGTAGTTTCCTTTGAGGACGAGACATCTGTGATGGATTATGCTTTGCAATTTTCCACTGTTCAGTTGTCCTCAAGCTCACCCATGATGGCCAATTCTGATAGCAGCAGTGATCTTTTGACTTCCCAAAAGGTTAGCATATGTGATTATCAGCAATTGGCTGCATCAACACCTGATAACTTACCATCCATCTCTTCAATAGACATCTTGGATGATTATATCTTGCATGATATAGACAAGATGGATGTTGTTAGCTTTGACCAACCATTGAGTTTTCCTAGCCAAGACTCCAACTCCTTCATGGACGATACTGATTCTTTCACTCCACCTTTCTGTGCGGATATGCATTTTCCTTTCTTTGTCACTGATTCTTCCCTTCCTGGTCCAACATCGCCTGATCTACACAGTATCATGAACAGCTTTCTTGCTCATAATGAAATTGTCCCTCTGGATAAAGCTCAAAGGAGATGGAAAATGTTATTTAGTGTGTTTAGGTGGTTCTCAGTTAGGAGGATTATAAAAAGGAAAACCGTTGTTTCTCAAAACATCAAGTGTGTGTTATACTGAGGCAAGATCATCACTAGGAAATTGCTGCCCGATGCATAATCGTGTGCAGTAGCTGAATAAGAGTAGACTTTCTTGTTGATATGTGTAGGATTAGCCGCTTCTTTAATTAAGTTCTGATTCTTTTCTTTTCAAGAAATTATTATTGTCACAAAATGATGTCTTTCGAGCTTCCAGCTCATCTGAATGATACTTAAGATTTTGTAATTGCTAGGCTGCAGGGTTTGTCTGTGTACATGTTTATCATCTATTCCAAGGGAAATGTTACCTCCACTCCATATAGTTTATCTGCATAAGATTTAATGGCTAAGTTACAGTTCCAGCCTATAACTCTTCTTTTATTTTGTACAAAAACCTTATTAAATCAGAGTACTTAAATTTTATCAAATACCAATATAAACAATATTTGCATAATCAAGCTATTTAAAAGTTGACTGCATGATGTTCATATCAAGCTCCTTGTTAAAATGTTATAATTATCTGCCATGAACGAGATAGTACAATTAGTGCGTAGTACAAAACTACGTGGTAGCTCCTGAAAATTAATGCCAAAAATTTTGTTATAAATGGAGTTGAATTGATTTCGAACCAGCCAGAGTAGCATTGATAGGAGGGAGGCCTCCTCCTCCGACTGAGAGCCCGTTTGGATTAGCTTAAAAAAGTGGGTTTTCAGCAAAAATAGTTTTTAAGCCAAAAAGTCATAAATTGAGATTGCCCAACTTATTGTTTTTGACTTGTTTTAAGTAGTTTTTAACTTATTTTAAGCATTTTTGGAAATTTTTAAAAAGAAATCAAAAGCTAATTTGACCAGCTTAAATGTCCAACCAAACACCCTGAGTTCGTATACTCTAGGCTTGGGAGGCTCCAAGCTATGGGAGAGTGAACAAAATTTACTTTGTTATTTGATGACAAGACGTGAGATTGATACAAACTCTTGAGCAATTGACTGTAACATATTTCTCTCTATTGGTTAATTCCAACCCAACGGTTGACGACGAAACTCCGTCCAAGGGTGACACTGGAGTGAAGCTCAGATCGAGAGAAATCTAAGTCCCTGGTCATGTTATCTGACATGAAAGAAGAATATCGAAGAAAACCTTAGAACAATCTAAGAAAGAGAAGAAATAAGCCGGTCAGTCTCTAGAATAACGACCTGACTTGATTTTGTTATTTCAACAATAATATCTTTATACATTTTAAAAAATGAGAAAATATAGGATGTACTGTTACACCTCCTTTTTATAGGGAAAAGAATTTTTCCAATTTAAATAACATTATTGAAATGAGACTAATTTTATTTTATTTTTAAGAGTCATCACTCGGAATTATTTAATTACGGTGTTCCGAATCACCAATTATTTCAAATCCCAAATCAAGGAAAGTTTTACTCCGTATAAGTCTGCGAAACACAGAAGACCGTGTAAGGGATTCTGTTACCGGGAGAAGGTATGAGGCACTCCCGAATTTCGTGGTTTTAGCACGGTCGCTCTACTATTAAACTTGGCTTAATTATCTGATTAATACATGTTTTAAACCTATGTGCATCTTTGCCTTTCTACCACTTTTAATTATATATTTTAGTAATTATGGAATTAATTTCATACAAGTTACGATGTCACACACTTGTCATTTTACACACATCGTAATCACGCCACTTGAAACGCACCAGCAATTTACAACATATTTAATTCTATTGTTACTTTGAAGTTGTAAGGTCAAGTCACGCGAACGTGCACTTGAATTTGGGATTAAGTGTCACAATTATGCCACGAAAATCGTACCTATAAACATAACGATTATTTATTAAAGCGCGCCTAAAACAACAACGCATATTCACGAATTATTTTATTCTAAGTTTGAGATCAAGTGTGAAGGTAGGAAAATTATGGAGTTTGAGTCACGAATTTATAAGGACTTTGAAAAATTCATGACTAAACTCTTCTGTACAAATAGATGAATCCTTGTTAACTGACTAGTAATACTTTATGATTAAACTATGTTTGTTCATTCCACTTAATTAACTTCTATAGAGATTATTCTTGGACTGACCAAGATCAAAGTGAACTCATGTATGAAGAGTAAGAGGGCTGAAATTAAAAAATAGCCAAATTTACAAGTGATCATTCAAAAACAGACACACTTTCAAAAGTAATTGAAATTTAATCACTTTTCATGTAAAGATAAATCTGAATACTGTTCAAAATTCGAAAAAATACTCCAGTATAATATACTGGGACTTATACTGGAGTTCCAGTATAATATATCGGTCCAGCATAATATACAGGAGATTGGAGCACCGGTGCTCCAATCTCCAGTATATTATACAGGAACTTTCCGCGTGTTAGAGTTTTATGCTGAAAGTTCATACACAGTTGCATCGATCTCCAGTATATTATGCTGAAACTTTTCATGTTGCAGCAAAATAGTGGCTATTTTTCAATGACTTTACAAACGTGGGCTATTTTTTAATGACCAATCCGAAAACTGGCTAGCCCGTGCTATTTTTACGAGTAAGAGATTACAAATCAATTCGGATGGGGATGCATTTCACGTTATTGGACTACTGATAAAACATCACAAAGAAATCAATATCAATTATAAGGGCTTCCAACAGGCCCGCATCTATTGAGTTGGCATAGCCAGTTGGTTTTAGGCCCATATGACCTTACAGCTTGAGAGTCATGAACTCCATTTGCTTTCCAGAAAAGAAAAAAAAACAGACCAATTCTTAGTGGTCTTATTTGACAGGGCCCAACAATCACTTTTACTTTCAGCCAGAATGAACTAGGAAATTATTCAGTTTATTACATACATAGCCAGTAATTGGAAGTGTTCAAGTTCATTACAACACTAACAATGAATAAACATTATAGTGACATCCAACTTTACAGTACTAGCCAATTTTAGCTTTCACAAACTCCAGCGATCTTCTAATTTACAAGAAAAACTAAGCCACTGGATTATCCTTGGGAACTATATTGGCCATGAGTGTTGGTTATCAAACTAACAACAAATTAGGACCAGTCTCCCCTGTCAATATCATTTGAACATGAAACATCGACCTCATAAACTAAACGATCGATAATAGGAAGTGTTATTCTATTTATCGACAATTAATCAATTCAAATGCTAAAACTTACACTAACATAAACAGATGATGAATCTAAGGATTATAACAGATTTAGAACATAATAGTTTCAGAACTTAACAGAGAAAGTAAATCGAAACAGATCAACAATTACACATGACAAATCTGTAAAGTGGAACAAAATTAACACATAAACAAATTGAGTTTTCATTTAAGATTCAAACAACAACAGCAGAGACAGCTGAACATACCTAAACAACAATCAAAAATTAAATAGAGGTCTGAACTGAAGATGAAGTTCAGAGTGATGAACAACATAAAACAACAGTGCCAAACCAGAGGAAGAAAAGTTTGAGACCCAAGCAAATCAACTCGAAATTAGCAGCAAACAACCACAACTTCGATTTTGAATTGTTTGAATCCAAATTCCAAAGTAACCTACCAAAAACTCTATTGTTCTTCCTTTATTTTGTTTTTCCAGAATTTCATTCTCTTTTTTTGGTTTTCTAGATCTCATATTTTTGAATTTCAAACTATTTCTTTTAGCATTTTCCAGACGTGTGTGATTGAGTGTATATCCAGCTTTGTGAAGGAGTGAGAAGTGAAGATGAGAGAGTACGAGTGAGAGTGAGAGAGACAATAAATTCTATAAATGAGAATGTGTATTGTATGTGTATCAGATGAGAGAGGATGACAGAATGAGAGTGAATGTATTGTGAATAGTCAGTGAATGCGTGAGTCTTATGTGAGAGGGAATGAACAATTTTATAACAGAATATCAGCATCTTTTCTGTTATTTCTCTTCCTTTTCAGTCATTTTTATTTCTATTTTTACCCCCTCCAGTCCCCTTTATTGCTATATGGTCCTTTTCTACCCTTTCTTTTCCTCTACTAACCTCTAGAAACTTCCTCACTATTCTAACGGATATTCCCTAGGCCCAACTCTTTTACTCATATAAAATTTGGGCCTGTCTCTGGCCCAAGATCATACCTATCTTTAACACCCAAAAACCCTCTTCATCACTTTGACAAAACATAAAACAAAAATCCCATAACTCTAATTTGTGCAAAAATTGCACGGTACACACTAATTAAACAAACTAAAATCTAATTTAATCAACTAATAACAAAATACATAGACCAAAACAAAGTACTACTAAATCAAATCTAAATCCAAGAGACAAACAACAAAGAATGAACAAATATGAAAAATAGGAATTAAACAAGAGTCGACAATTGAATAATTCAGTTTTAAAACTTATCAGTGCTAAAATCGGAAGAACAACTAAACCTAATTTCTAATTTCTAATTATCAAAAGGATAGAGAGGAACAAAGAAGAAAGGGACAAGGATTACCTAACGAGCTCAAAAGAAACGACAGAAGGAATCTCCAGACGGCTCCGACCGGTCAAACACCGGTTGACCAAAATCCGGCCACTGATAAATGACCCACCTCTTACATAAATATATAGCACTTGTCAAGAGCTTTCCATTGAAGTAAGTTTTGGCCGTAACCAAGCCGAAATGATCGAGCAATGAACAAAGGAAAGAATCGATTTTCTGATATTTCGAGATCTAAAATTTATTGATTTTGATGGGGATTTTGGGGATATTGGCAAGAGGTTTGGATGGAAGAGGAGTTGGGGAATATAGGGTGAAATTTAAGGGCTATTTGGAGACTGGCCGCCGCTATGGGCAATTTCCGGCGGTGGCGGAAGGTGGGGCGTGAAAGAGGAGGTGAGAGATGATATGAGAAGTTTGTGGGGTTCGGTCTCAAAGATAGTTTTCTGTGACTAATGATTTAGTTCTTGACCGTTTGATGGGGTTTGAGGGATGGATAAGATTTAGTCTAATCAAATTAACCTAAAACGACGTCGTTCTGTTTATAGGGGACTAAACCGATTTGGAGATGCGTTTGGGCGTGTATTTAACAAATCTGGGCCATAGTATTTGGCCCAGTTTGGTTTCAAACAAGAAAACAAACCTCAATCTTCCCGTAAAAATTGCATGGGGAATCTTATTTGGTCGCCCCCATTTAACCTATACCTATTTTTTTTAAAAAGTTTTAAATTGTACCCATTTTTTAAACAACTTCAGTCCCTTTTCTCCTCCTCCTTCTCTTCCTTCGTTTTCTTCTTCTTCTTCTTCTTCTTCTTCTTCTTCTTCTTCTTCTTCTTCTTCTTCTTCTTCTTCTATCTTCTGCTGCTGTTAGTGCTGCTATGAAACTTCAGTTCATGGGATGATTGCCATAAGTATGTTTATCAGATTATTTAAAAATAAATTATAAATAATTACGCAAGTTAGTAGACAATAATTTGTGAATATTTCCACGTATGTAAGTTAGTAGACAATGATAATTATGTTCTTTTCACGTTTATTGTTTTCAAAATTTATGATTTAGATACTGTTGGCAATCTGATTATTTATCTAGTATGTTAGAAAGCTTTTTCAAAAACTTCAGCTTATATAGTGCTGAAGTTTTTACAAATGAACTAAATAATTTCAACATCTTCTGCTGAAGTTTTTGCAAAAGCTTTATGACAAAACTAATGAATCCAGGACAAAAAACTTCAACTTTTAGTGCTAAAGTTTTTACAAATGAACTAAATAACTTCAGCATCTTCTGCTGATGTTTTTGAAAAAGCTTATCCAGGATAAAAAAAACTTCAACTTATTTAGTGCTGAAGTTTTTATAAATGAACTAAATAACTTCAGCATCTTCTGCTGAAGTTTTTGAAAAAGCTTAATGACAAAACTAATGAATCCAAGACAAAAAAACTTCAGCTTATTTAGTGCAATTACAAACAAAAACTTCAGCAAATAGAGAACAAAACTTCAGCTACTATGCTTAAGTTCAACAATTACAAACAAAAACTTCAGCACATTTGGTTCAGCACACTTGCTACTTCATGTCCGTCTACTAGAATGCTGAAGTTTTGCGTGATTGTCTTTGCTACTTCAGCCCCGTATGCTGAAGTTACGCGAAAAAGTGAGTACGCTTGTAATTCTTTTTGCAAAGCGGGCATAAGTTAAAACGTGACCCAAAAAACGGGTATAGATGCAAATCCCCCAATCTTCCCTATTTGTTTTGATTTTCAACATTACCCACTAAATCTAATTCTGAAACTAATTTGCAAAAATGACCCATTTAACTATTTTAACAACTACAACTAATCAATTAATTTTATAATCTAAAAGAAAATGAAACTAATTAACTTCACCTAAAATGCAAAAGGTAACAAAATGTCTTTTTTGTGATTTTATATTTTAGTGAGGCAATGCAACCTAAAATGCTATGAAATAAAGATTAGATTTTTTTGATGACTTTCATGATTTAAGATATTAAATACGCACAAAATGCAAATAAATGCAAACAAACAAATAAAAAAAATTCCTAGAAATTCTATAAAATCAAAGACAACTAGAAAATTATTTTTTGTGAATTTTTAGGAGTAAACTACGCATAGTTTTCGGGCAAAGATAAAGTGAGAAATAATGAGCAAGTTTAGCCCGTTTGATACTCCATGAGAAGCATTTTGAAAATTTTAGACCGAACCTTGCTTCATAGGTTGCCCACATATCCTTGGCTATAAAGGAATCAGGTCAGTGTATTTCAGAAAGTTTGGTAGCTAGAATTATCGAGATACTGTGATTTCACTGTTGTCGCTATTCTTACTACTTGATGGACTCTTTATTACACCAAAATCAAAATCAAGAGAAACTAAACAAACCTATCATCTATGAGTCACAAGATTCCTATCTATAAGACTTCTAAAATTTGATCTTGAGTCTTGACTGGTTCTTCATACAGACTCTGATCTGAATCTTGATGCTTGCTAGCTGCAGGTGCTAGTTCATTCTTCTGCGGCTTCTTCTAATCAAAAAGGGAAATGAAATGCTCGTGACTTCATTCATGTCTTAAGTAGTCTACCTCTTTTCATTCACTTTTTCATTTTTGATTCATTTCTTTTTCTTTTATTTTCTTTATTCTGGATTGAGACTTCTTCTTTTGGTCATCTTGAACCCTGTGCCTCGAGGTAAAACCTGCTCACTCACCAAAACAAGCAAACGAACGAAATTTGTTTGCCTCATTTTTCACTAGGAAAATTTCGTGAGTTATTGTAACAAATTCTAAACTGCTTCTTCATTAAAAAAAATTAAAGTATCGGAGATGGTGTATCCTGAAGAGATCATGATTTTGATTGATTTTATTTTTTTCATTTTTATTTATTTTGTGGATGGTGTTCCCTTACTGTTAAAATGATGTCTCAATTAAGGATTAGTGTACCTTAAATTAGGAAAATACGGTCGGGAATGGTATACCCTATATTGGAAAAATATATCAGGGAGTAGTGTACCCTGCACTTAAGATCAAATCAGCTAGGGAGTGGTGTACCATATGTTGGAACACACAACTAGGGATATGTTTACCCTATACTGGTAAAAAGACTAGGGAATCATGTTTCCTATGTTTGGAATGATATTAGGGAGTGGTGTACCCTGCATTTAAGATCAAATCAACTAGAGAGTGGTGTACCCTATATTGGAAAACACAATTAAGGATTGGTGTACCTTATACTGGTAAAAATTGGGGAATGGTGTACCCTATATTTGGGATGATATATTATCAACTACACAGTGGTGTCACCTATGTTGGAAAATACAGCTAGGGATTGGTGTACCCTATATCTAAAAGAATGATATCAGGGAGTGGTGTACCCTGCATTTAAGCTCTATTGATAAAGATATCTGGGAGTGGTGTACCCTGCATTTAAGATCAATCAACTAGGGAGTGGTGTACCATATGTTAGAAAAAATACAGCTAGGGATTGGTGTACCCTATACTGGTAAGGAGACTTTGGAGTGGTGTACCCTATGTCTAGGAATGATACAAGGGAGTGGTGTACCCTTCATTTCTGCTCTATTAATATAGATATCAGGGAGTGGTGTACCCTATGCCTAAAACATCGTCAACTAGGGACTGGTATACCCGATGTTGGAAAATGTATCTAGGGATTGGTGTACCCTATACTTGTAAAGAGACTAGGGAGTGGTGTATCCTATGTTTAGGAATGATATCAGGGAGTGGTCTACCATGTGTTTCAGCTTTATAGCGAAAGATATCAGGGGGTGATGTACCTGCAATTAAGATCAATTGGTAATGATATCAGGGAGTGGTGTATCCTGCATTTAAGCTCAATCAACTAGGGAATGGTGTAACCTATGTTGGAAAATACAGCTAGAAATTAGTGTATCCTATACTGGTAAGGAGACTAGGTAGTTGGTTACCCTATGTCTAAAACATCATCAACTAGGGAGTGGTGTGCCATATGTTGGAAAACACAAGTAGGGATTAGTGTACCCTATACTGGTAAAGAGACTAGGGAGTGGTGTACCCTATGTCTAGGAATGATATCAGGGAGTGGTGTACCCTGTGTTTCAGCTTTATCGATAAATATATCAGGGAGTGGTGTACCCTGCATTTAAGATCAATCACCTAGGGAGTGGTGTATCCTATGTTGGAAAATACAGTTAGGGATTAGTGTACTCTATATTGGTAAGGAGACTATGGAGTGGTGTACCCTATTCTAAAACATCATCAACTAGGGAGTGGTGTACCCTATGTTGGAAAAGCAACTAGGGAGTGGTGTACCCTATGTTGGAAAATGTAGCTAGGGATTGATGTACCATATACTACTATGATTTTGAATGTTTTTGTTCATATAGAGAGAAAGAGTAAAATGCGGGAAAGAATTTTGAGAAGAAATCCCTTTTGAGAGTTTTCCGTTGTAGAGTTGTTTTCAATCTCTGCATGATTCTCTTTTGGTTGCACCTTCTTCTTGCGATGTTGTTTTTTGATTGCACCTATTTTTTTTCCACAAAGAACAATTGTTAATTCGAATAGGTTCTTGGTTTTGTGGTCTTGAGTATTTCAGTCACTTGATCTTGGCCTGTTATCTTTTGATGATAATTTCAAAGCCGTTGGTTGTTTCCCGAATACCATTTGCATTTCTGGCCCCGAGAACCTTTGGTTTTTCAAACATTTGGCATGATAGTTGGTCGCGCAGGGGGACTTACCCTTTTTAACTTTATTTTGCCTTTGCCGGCACTTCAACTTTGAATTTGCTTTTTTTTTTAAAAAAAAATTCCAATTTCAGAGCATCTGCCAATCATGTCCAGTCGGGGTTGACTTGATGCCTTTATCGAGGCTTGGTGCCTTTGAATGTATTCGCTCGCTTCAAACGAGAGCCCTGTTATCGGTCTTGCCATCCTTTCTTTGCCTTTATTTTGACATAAAGTTAGACTGAAAGGGATTCAAAGAAAAACAAATAATAGAATAGGGAATGAGTTTAAACAAGGGTGTCCCTTTCAGGGAATGGAAAGAAGGACTTATCTGGGAGTACATGTGGACTTCAATGAACATGACATGCCTAATCCGTGTAAATCGTCCGACCCTTAGAAACTCATCACAACCTTTGCCTCGAAACCCAGAAACTCTGCCTGGGACTATGTTGATGCCATGGCTGCAAGGATCCTCTTTTCGGTCAATAGTGCCCTTTGTAGATTTTCACCAGCTGACCTCTCTCATTTCTCTTCTCACCATCGCCTTATAGTGCCCTTTGCAGATTTTTACTAACAAGACTCTCATTTTTATTTTCTCTACTCACCATCGCCCTATAGTTTCCGCTAGAGTATGCCACTTATAGTGGTACTCGTGCTCCAGTTGCAACTCATCAGGGTAGGAGTTATGTGAGTCGCCCTGTTCATTAAGCACTTCCAGTCGGCTGCAGTATTTTGGGCACTCCTAGGC